GCAAAGGCAGCTGGGCCCAGAACCACAGAGGAGCCTATCACACAAATCAGTAGTGTGGTTTTTGCAATATGTCCCTTGTAATTCTTGGCAAAGGAAGGTTGTTCCACAAAAGAAAACAATAAATAAATGACTCTACTGTATTTGGTCTATCATCATCCAGAACAAGATCTTCCATTTGACTTATGTTGCATAGCCACTGCAGCCCACCCACCCAAACAACTGGGGAACAGCAGGTAGTACAGATTGGCAACACTTCCCCAGTGGGGCTGATTGGCTCTCTATTGGTGGCCATAATGCCGTCACAGTTCCACTGACCAATGGGAACATTGCATGCTGCCCAGAACAGAACTTGAACCCACAGACAGCTTTGACAACTCTGATGCATGTGGCTTTCAGCCCCAACAAGGACAAGCATTGTCTGCACCCCCAAGCCAGATCATTGTTCCAGGTTTGATAGTGGCTAACCTCAAGTGGGTCTCCTCTCTTGCTGATCAACCATAGTGTTTCAGAGACTGAACAATGTAATTTAAGGCTTACCTATTTGTGGTCTTATACCAGTGTCATAGTGAGGCAATGGGGTATAGTGGCTGGAAGTTTTGGACTTGGAGTTTCAGAGCCCTGGGTTCAAACTCCTACCTCAGACATTAGCTGGGTGACCAAGGACAAATTACTTCTCTGAAGCTTCAAGGAGGGAGAGTAACATGTAAAATGATAAGGATAATAACTCTGACAACATAGGGTTGTTGAGAGGATCAAAGAATAATAATAGCTACTATTGGATAGCACTTTTAAGGTTACAGGTTATCTCATTTATATACATTATCTAAAGGAGATGATGTCAATATGCTTTACAAACTTTATATGATGTATGAGGTATTACCTCATTTCATGGATAGATGAATGTGTTTCCCACCCAGACTTGGGGCTCCTGAAGGGCACAGACTAGGTTTTCTCTGATCTCCACATCCATACTAGGATTGGGCAGGTGCCCAGATCTCCAGATCTACGAGATCTCTAATGAAAAGTATACTGTAGTGGCATCCAAGCAATGGACATTTCCCAAGCACTTACTATTTCTAAGCCCAAGTGGCACCAGGGGTTTTGGGAAAGCTGTGCCACCATAACACAAGTCCTTGCTGGAAGGGCCAAGAACATAGATCTAGTGGCCAACTAAGAGCATCTGTGAGTGGTTGGAGGACCAGCCTAGCTATGGGAGTAGAAGCCCCTCCTGAGCTTGGCATATAGTTGTTTATGTGTTGTCTCTCCCTTTAGGGTACAAGCTCTTTGAGGGGGTATATGGGGCATTCAGGGGGGGACTAGCTAGCACTTGTGGTTTGAGGGGCTACCGAGCCCTTTTCAGGGCTGCTCATCCATCTTTGGTGTCTAACTCGTACTCGACTCTCATCTGCAGCTCCAAGAAGCTGTAACATGTACAGTGACCATCCCTTGTTAAAACTTTCCAGAGATGGGCTAAATCAGGTTAGGGGTAACTGATGCACCCCAAACCCAGAAGTGAGTGAGGGGGTTGTCTACCCCAAACGTGAGGGTGAAATGAACGGATAAGAACAGTCTGTTCCAATGACCATGAAAGCAGCTGACTGTGGAGCGCTCAGAGCTTGGTCAGACGTCAAAGACGCCAAGGTCATCCGCCGCATCCCAGGCCATTGCCAGGGTCTTGAGTTGTCCTCCCGCTAGACGTGGATGACTGAGAACACAGTGAGGCTGATGACTTTGTGCAGCTCACCTAAATCCAATTCACTTGCAAGTCAAGACATCACTCCTTCCTCTGCTAAAATGAAGGACAGATAAGCTCCTGAGAGGGCAGAGATTGTCTTTTGCCTCTTTTTGTATCCCCAGCACTTAGCGCAGTGCCAGGAAAGTAGAGCTGAACAAATGCTTTTCGAATGAATATTGAAAGAGTTGGCCCGAAATTGCTGACTTTTTTTTTGTAAGAATGGAACTCATTAGCAGCTCATTAAACCCTCTATTAAGGACTGGAAGGGTTTCAGTTTGCATAGGAGAAAGAAGTACTCACATTAATGAAATCAAGAATCCTGGTACACATGTATAGGGTTGTTTGTAAGTCTTTAACTGACAGGGAAATGGGACCTCACCGCGGTGCTTCCTAGTTCATTATTCATACAGCATACACACTACACCATTATTACCAAACCGCTGCTTATTCCACTTTACATTTGCTGAAATAAGATCGTGGGATCACGAATTTAGAGTTGGCAAGTACCTTCCAGACTATTTGGTTCAACACCCTCATTCTACAGATTGGAAAACTGAGGCCCAAAGAAATTAAGTGACTTGCCCAGGGTCACATGTATCAGAGTTGTGACAGATCCAAGAACAGCAAAAATTCCAGAGGTGAAGTCAAAGATGGAATGACTTTTTTGGAAAATGGTAAAATTATAATGTACAAAAAGTCATCTAGAAAATAAGGAGACCTATAGAAACTGGAAGAGAAAAATGTCCATGTTCAAATCATGTGAAGGCCAAAAACACCTGATACTTCACAAGGAGGGAAGGAAGGAAAGCCCGACAACAATGAGCTCTCTGCATGGACCAAATCCAAGGCAGACTTTTAACAACACATCAGGGTGGAAGTTTTGAATGGGAACTTTAAACAGATGAGGAGTGGTAGAAGCGAGAGGGCATGCATGCCACGGTCGAGCAAACAATTGCTGACCAAACGACACTTCTTCTTACCCAGTCTCTTTGGCAATGTCAGCAGGCCTGAGCGTATGTCAGGACATGGAAAGAATTGTTCTCCTACAGGCATCTGTCCCGGACACCATTTAAGGATAAGATGACCGAGACCAGTTTGCTATATTAGTGCATCAAAAATCCTAGCTGTTTACCACTTGAACTGCTAAGGACGTTGTTACTGGGTCAGGTGTTAAACCCCCTCCCTACTCAATCTCATTGTTTTGCAGTTGAGTAGAAGCTGGGTTACCAGGCTTCTGGTAAATTGACTGATGCCTCGTATCTCCTCACATTCTTCCTGCTGCCAACATTGTTTTGGAGGTAGGGTGGTTTGGGAAAAGAATACTATACTTCTCACAAGGTTGAGAGAAAAGTATTTTGCAAGCTGTCAAGTACTATATAAATTTACGTTGATTGAGATTTTTTTTTAATTATCATTTTTAGCAATTGAAGAAGGGATCAGTTTGGACGTATCTATCTTAGCACTTTCCCTTCATAGTTTTTAAATACTGGACTCTGCTACTGACTCTTGTGAGATGTCTGTGCTCTGTTTAAACCTTCCTGCAAAAGGAGTGAAGGTCACTCACTGGTTTCTTCCTTCCCATCCCAGTCTATGGGGAGGGATAGAGCATTCCAAAAGTCACAGCTATTTGAGGAGACTGCTGGTCTGTGGAAATTCTCGTAGCATATAGAGAGAACTCGTCCTGTTTAACATGAGTTAGTAACAACTTCATTCTCTCCTCAAGCAGCCCATGTGGACCGTGTTACCCTGAGAATGGACAAAAGTCTGGGAGATTCAACTTGGGATTTCAGTGGGGGGAAGGTGGAAAGGATGTGCTGGTAGATACTAAATATACATATACATATGTATTTGTATATAAATATGTACATGCATACACACATATATACATATATGTATGTGTATATACATGCACATACACAACTAGCAGGATGCTAGCCTGAATGACTAACACAATATGAGCATTTAGAACAGTCAGGTGATGCCTGCTCCATTTTAGGGCATTCTGAACCACCCAGGTTTGGATGATAAAAGGCAGCAGCCATCATACTGTCAAAACCGTCAGGCAATATCTGGCCTTCATCTGCCTTTTATTTTTCACTGAAGTGCAGAGAAAAGAACACCATAATTTGGGTTTGAATAAGTTTGTTAAAGTCTCCTCATTTTAGTTTATCTGTAAAATGGAGATAATGGCTACACTACCATACAAGGTTGTAGGAGCACCAAACAAATGAAAAGGGACAGGAAAATCACCCTGCTTTCAAAAGCATTATAGAAAATATCATAATGATAACAATTAGCACTTACATAGTGTTTTAAGGTAAGCAAAGGCAGTGAGTGTCCTTGAGCCCGTCAACTCATTTAAGCAAAGAAAGGTATTATGGTGCTTTCTTAAAAACAAGCTAGGATTTGGAGGCGTGTATCAGGCCAACATCAGAAAGATCAGAAAGAACCAAGCTTCAGGCCGATATCTCCCGCTATCATTAGCAAATCAGTTTGAAGGTGTTAAGAGGACATAATAATACCCCTACCCTCATATTAGTTTGGGATGATTTGGAATAACGGCTTCTGGAAGCATAATCTCCCAGTTTTCAAGTGGCCTGAACTGCTAACATTGGGAAGAGCATAAGGATCTGTTCTCCCTTTTCATCTCATGTCAATGAGAGACTTTAGGGAGCTTTTAACTCCCCAATATCAATAATGCAGCCAAAAACTAACAATACAAGGTAAATTGGCTGTTGGGTAGAGGTTGCTGACCTACATAATAAGAGCAAGTCAATAGGCTATCACCACATTCTACACAATGGTTAAGAAAAGGGCCAACAAAAAAAGTCAGAGAATTGGCCAGCTTGAATTCTCTGGACAGGTCACAAAAGATGCACACAAAAGCTTTTGTTAGTGGCAGCAAGCTGTTAAATCTACTGCCAGGACATAACTGGCTGGTCATTGCCGCAGTTTTGCCAGCAACACTTAAGTACCAGTACATAGCAGTTATTACAAGTTAACTAACATAGTGCTACTTAACTAGTTAACAGGCAAGGGATTTGTTTCTGAAAGTTCTTCTGGCCAAAGTATGCCACCTTCAAGATAAAATACCTAGGATTCAACCACACCAGCCCTGTGCCTTACTAGCAACACGATCCATGAAGCACGGCGTTGGTGATTGATTTAGAATGACCTGAATGTGAAAGCTTGATTTATCCACAATAAAAATGCCTCTTAGTACTGTCCATGGTATTCACATCAGTAAAAACACAATTGACAAAGGTCTTTAAAATATATCTTTATTTCTCAATAAACTCAAAGCTTTTTTCTTATAAAGTTTTAACACATTTTGCATTGACAAAAGAAAGTGATTTCATCCATATGGACTGAGAAGGCTAGTGACCATTAACAAAGAAGTAATCCCACACATCTTGACTGGCTAACAAATCAAGAATTCCAATGGCTAGCTGCTATTCAAATTTAGAAAAATGAAAAGAATTTCCTACTCTGACTAATAGACTAAAGGTGGGTTTTTTTTTTCTTAGCTATATGTTAATTTGGAAACAAAATTTAAAAAAAAAACAGCTACTTTTAAAACAGGAGTTTCTTTACCTTTAAATAAAATAAGTTTCAGACAAAAAGAAAACCCACACAAACCCACATCATTTAATTTATCCACTTCATTAGTGAATGGTCTTTTAACCTTCCCATAAATAGGAGTAGATGGCTGCTCTGTACCTTTGTTTGTTCCAACTACATTTGTTTGGGTTTTTTTTTTACATTACACTTGAATTATTAGAAAAATAAGTGATAAGATTTAGGCACTTGAAATATCTGGTTTCAGTAATATTGGCCTTTCCTTTTCTTAGTTTGCTCTATTACACCCCTCTAAAAAGCTTCCTAATATCTTCCCAGGCCTCCTTTGGTCCTCTGAATGTGAATTAGGAGAACTGGAATTTGTTCCAAAGCCAGCTATGACCAGAGTAGATACAATGTTCTGGTCTCTGCCAGCGTAAGGATATCTGGCTCTAAGCTTAGAAATCTAAGTGTTTCTTCTCTCAACTTCTAAGAAAAGAAGATTTGTACCTAAGTTGATATACACACCAGTAGATTCTCTCTGGTCCAGAGTTAATAATCAGATAACCACTGTGAATGGTAATGGCTCATAGTAATATATGCTTTCTCCCATCCTGTGGTAATGTTTTAATTATGTCACCATCACCCTATGGAAGAAAAGGTTTGAAGAATCTAACTTGGGCCCCAAAGACTAGTCCATGGTGGGGGGAAGGCACTAGCCAAAAGGGAATTATTATTCTTAAAAGAAAAGGAATACCTGATACCTTGAGTGGCACTTCTAGCTAAGAACAGAGTGATACTACTGAAAATCCTATCCAACTATTACTACGACTACTACCACCATCACCGTCACCACCACTACTGCTCCTACTATTACTACTATTTCTACTATTACTACCAAGGTAAAGACTAGATGTGTGAGGGAGAAGGCTACCACAATGGAGGAGGATGAATTCAGGTCTTTGGCCATTGAATGCTAGATAACCATAAAAAGCAAACAATTCAGAAGAAAGCCAAGTTTGAAATTTCCTGCCCCAACAGTAAGCTGCCCAATTGCTTCTGCACCACGATCCAGCAAGCCTTTCTTCCTTTCCTCACCCCTAAATGGAAATTTACTTCTTACAGGCTTATGAACCATACCCAGTTTCCTCACATATGCCTAATTAATTTGAGCTACATTGATTGAGAGGGTGTCCGTGTGGAACGTTTTACTCTAAGTGTTTGCCAGTGAATTTGAATGTGAAATAATGTCCACCAAAATGAGATCATAAAGGAGATCTGAAAGCTTGAAGCCCAGGAATTTAATGCAGATGCCTCAGCCAACATGAAAAAAAAAGGTAAAAAAATTCTTATCTCGGCTGACCACTCAAAGCTGATTCTGAGGAATAAGAGTACACTGCTTGTTTGCAAAAGGCCAAAAAAAGAAAGAACAAGAAAAAAAGGACATCTTAGGGACCCAACATAAGTGATATACTATTCAAATTTAGATTAGGATTTCTAATTGAACTTTTAATTCCCCTCTTGACTACCAAAGTTTCCTTTTACTCAACACTAGAAAGAAAGGGAAAAAAAAAGGAACCCACGGATTTGGTAAAAATGCAGACCACAGAGACTACTTGTATGACCCCCAAAGGCACATTTTTTAAGTAGAATGTCCAGACACTTGAATTTAGAGGTGTCTTGGGCACATCATGAAGCTGGTTAACAGCTACCTTAGCAGGTAAACTACATACCTGAGCCAGGGATTAGGTTTTAGTGACCCAGTCCTGTTCTTAGCTATCCAGTCACACAGCACACTTAAATTGGAGTGGAGGAGCTGGAGTTTAGGCAGCTGTGCTAGCTCCTGCATAAGCATCTACTTGCAAACTACAAAAAGAGGTGGATCAGAATAATCTCAGGTAAGAAGATAATTGCACAAAGGGGGCGCCCAAGGTGTGCGGAGGTGGGGGAGGGGCCAGGAACAAAGAGAAGCCAAAAGCTCCTGAAATGGTATCTGGGTCCCTGGCTTGGCTACTTTTCTGTCCCCAGTGGCCTCTCCAAGACACGCACTATTTTGAGACAAAATAGAGCCCAATAGTTAACTTTAAGTATAAACTCCTACATGTTTTACATTATCTAAAGTGGAAGACTGCACATGTTCTAGATGACCTAAAGTACAAATCTAAAGATGCTGGTATTCCTTCAAGGGGGCAGAAAAAAGGCAAACTTTTGCAGGTGGAAGTGGTCATCCTAGATCCTCCCACTCCCTCCTCCCCTCCAACCACCCTGTAGTCAGGGCACTAATAAAGAGAGAAACCAGAAGGTATAATGAGCAGGATGAGCTTTCAAAAAGGACAAACTGGGAATTTAATTATTTTTAAACTAAGGGTGTAGTTCTGAGCTCCCCTCACCACCCTCACCCCCAAACTTATCTGGCAAGCAAACAGAAACCAGCCACTGCCAAAGCTTTGGTTAACATTCTGCCACAAATGAATAATTTTAGTGCGGATGTATTGCCATTACCCTCCAAAGACAGCTTATCATAAGTCACAGATAATCAAGTGGTTTGATAAATCCACCTTCAGTCTGTGCCACACCTGAAATACTACCAAGAGACCTCAAACCAACCCCATTCACACCTGAGTATAAGTTAGCTTTGATTTAAAAGCAAGGAGTTCAACATAATCTTCCAAGGTCTTCTAAAGAAGCAAATGCGAATGGTACTGCTAAGGTGACTTTTTATTCACCTTGCTAAAGTTAACACATTATGAGTGACACCCAAGGAGGAAAACAAAACCAAGCTCACCTACCTGTTTCACTTGAAAAAGGGGCTAAAATATCACATTCCAGACAGAGCACACCAAACATCTCTTAGCTTTCTCTTAGACAGAGAAGTCATTGATCTTCAAGTATTCTTTCATTAACTTAGCTTTGTCATGGCCCAGGATTTCTATGGCCATAGCAGTGTCAAATTCAGGATCTTGGATTTGAATAAATCCTTTTGAAATCTGCCAACTGGGCTATCATTTTCCTAGTCAACTAAAATTGTTTCTCTGAAGTGGGAGGCCCTATAAAAAGCTGCAATATGAAATTCCTTCTCTGTAGGGAAGAATCTGCAGTGGGTCTCTACACCTAAATGACCCTGGAACTCTTAACCAAGCCGAGCAACAGAACATTCACTAAAGTTAACACCATCTTTCCCTAAAGTGCAGAATACAATATAAGTACACTGGGTCAGGTCAACGAAAACAGCTAAGTTCTCATTCACTAAGCCAGTCCTTACCTAGAAGGGAGAACATTATCCAAATTAAGAGCTTTGACCACTTCCATGCCAGACTTTTTATGAACCCAAGCCTTCATCCAGACATGAGAAAGATTCAGAACAGCAGTCTTTACTGTATTGCAGTTCCTTGAAACCATAAGTGTTAGCTCAAGCAGCCTGCTTAATTCAAGGGGATCTTTCCATAAATCATTTAGGATTACAAATGGAGCTATCCTACTAGCCCAAATTCCTATCCAAGTAAGCATCATGAACTCATTTGCTGTGAATAGAAAGTTAGGGGAGTAGTTGCACTACCGAAAATTTTTTTTTGGGGGCAAAAAAACCACTAGCAGTCAACATATTGCAAATAAATTAAGTTGTCATATTTGGCATGTGATCAAAAGCGGCATCTCATCCTACTACAACACAGACATGAGGGAAGTCTGAATGGGTCATCGCAGGAACAAAATGAAACAAGACCGCCCAACTTAAATCTTAAGAACAGGACAACAAAACAGGTCAGCCACGAAAAAAAGACTGAATGGGGGAAACAGCCAAAAGTTCCATTCGTTAAAAATGCCTTAAAGAAAGTGTCATTTGAACATTAAGTCTCTAGTCACAACCACCACCCACCACCACCAATTGCTTTTTCTACTTTAACATTGTCTTACATTTTATTTTGGTTTTGAGTTACATTTCCAAGAAACCTTTTAGGTCATGCTTTAGCAGTAACCTCTCACAGTTCTTTGGGGTAGCACAGCATCTAAGCCACATATGCCACTTCTAACCAGACCTCAATTCTGAAGGCTGTTGGCTTTGGTTTCATCGTTGAAGGAAACCTTCAGCTCTGCTGAAAGGGGATAAGTCAGCAAACATAAGCAATCTGGCCTTTACTCAAAATCCCCCTTGGAACCAGAACAAAAGCACCCAAGAAGACCCTCACCTTTGGCATTCAGCATGGATTCAAGAAAACAGTTTTGCCCAAGCATTAGCTGCTAAGGACTCGGGACAAGGGCTAAAACACAGCCTAGTTTAGATGCACGATTGATGTGAGAAGACAGTTGGCTTAAGGCTTCTCAAACACTGCCCAAGTTATTTTCCATCCTAAGCAACTGCACTGCCACGGGGCTCAAATCCACAAGTGTGGAAGGTTCGGGACCATGAAGTGGTAAGTGTGTTTTGGACAGGTCAGTTTCCAAAGCGGCACTGTAATAAGGGTCCCTTTTAAAGTTTTCTCATGCTAGATTGTAGACCCATTCGATGGGTACACAAAGAAAATAAGCAGAATCAGAGCTGAGTTCCCCTTTAAAAGCCAAACACCTGCATCTAGAAAGGCTCCCCTATCTCCGCAAAGCCCTTGCCCTTTTGAGGGTTCCTTTTCAGAAATCCTCAAGTCAAGAGATTAGTTAGTTACAGGGCAGCCAGGTGGGATATGGCTGGCTGTAGGGCATTGGAGTGTTAGCAACGTAATAGTTGTTAAAGTTGCCGTCACTGACGTAGGGAGCGGGCTGGTAGTAACAAGTGACGTTGGTGGCGTTCGGGATGATGTTCTGCTCCGCCAGCACGCGCAGGGCCAGGAGGGAGATGAGGTTGAGGGTCTGCCTCCGCTCGTGTCCCATGAGACACACAGTGCTCTCATTCACGACCCGGCGAAGGATCATGAGGTAGTCGTACTTGCTTCTCTCCTCTTCAGCAAAGTGGTTCTGGAGGTAGGTCTCCAGCTTCCTCTGTTGCTCCAGAATGTCTGGAAAGTCGATGAAGAACCTGGAACACATGTAACGCTCCAGGGTTTTGATTTCTTCTTGGTCTGTGGGTCTGAAATCCCGTACCAGAAGATTACTATACTTCAGGAGTCCTCCACCCCTGATTTCTTCTGGGTTCTTGGTAGCAATCAGTCTGTTCTGGAGGTGGTCAAAGGCTGCCTCAAAGTCGCCATACACGCTCTCCCCAATCACAGTGGGGTGGAAGTGTTCAGACATGGGATTGCTTGAACAGTCATAGTACAAAAGCAAAGAGTCCAGAATGATCTGGAAGGAGTCCACGCTAAACTCAAACTGACGGCGGATGGAATCTACAAACTTGAGTTCCACATTCCTTCCATTCTTGTTGGAGAGGGAGATCAGGCTCCAACGGTCAGTGTCCGTGCAGACCTTTACCAGCTTCTGGACATAGGCCTCCTTAAGAGTCACTGGACTGATTTTTAGCTTGTTGACTCCCTCTGGCAAGAAGTTCAGAAGAGAACACAGAACGACATCTCGAACAAGCTGAAACTCTGCCTCTGTTGGAAGAGCCACATGAAAAATTAGATCCAGGTCTTTACAACCCAAGCCATTGTCTTTGACCAAGACGTGACCAGCCGCAGACCCATTCAGCCGAACATCCTGCACCTTGATTCCCGCCTCCTCCAGCCTGTTGCGGACAGTCTGAACAATATCCTTCAGTGTGATCTTCAGGGTGGGGAAGTTGCCCCGTCCATGGATTGGTACAACCTCAGTCAAAACTTCATTCAGCCGACTGACCTGATCCCAGTTCAGCACACTGAAGGACATGCAATCCCTGGTGTTTGTCTCATCTGCCATCTTGGGGTTTAGTCTTTCCAGGGAAACTGAAAGGAAAGGTAAGAAATGAAAGTTAGCATTTACTTCCATGCAGCAAAAAAAAAAAAAAAAAAACAGCTCAAATGCACTTATAATAGCTGCTTGTGACATATTCACCTTCTTCTAATGCAACCTTACATTAAGACTATTTCCTCAAGGAGAGAGGAAGATCAATGGATGGGCAGTGATAACATAAGAGGTGGAGAAAAGCTACCTAAAACTACACGTGCATTATAACCAGTTAAGAGCTCAGAACTCAGCAAATGAAATAGTTTATTGTCACTCCTTTCTTTTCTCAGGGAATAAAAAAGTTCCCAAGAGTGGCCCTACACCTCTCCCACTAAAAGATTAATCCCACACCAACACAGTTCTGGGCCATCAGATCCTTATGTTCTTGTGTTACATTTTGAAATAGTAGGTAAGTTGGCTATAACCTCTACAAGGTTATTTTAGAATAATAGAAAAATAGGGACCATACTTCTAACTTTATTTGGGTATAAGAAAGCATTAGATTTTGAGTCCAAGGCCTGGCTCTGCCACACTGCATGACTGAGCTGTAAGTGCATGCAAGTGCCTTCTCTGATATCTTTCCTTACAGTCCTCCCTTCTAATCAGTCTATAAATGCCGATGGGGGTAACAGTGCTTGTTAAAGAGTGCTGGTTCTGAAGTCAGAGGACTTGGGAAATCCTACCCATGACCTTGTCCTTGGACAAGTCACAACCCCCCTGGATCCTAGTTTCCTCAATCTACTAAAAAAAAAAAATGAGAGAGATGAACTAAACTGAGATCCCATCCAGAACCCAGATCTATGATCCAGCGTAGTCTGGTAATGGTGATCTGCTCAAATAAATATTCATGTTAACTAGTGCTCATCAATCCATGTATGAAGTTAAACTTCCATATAAGAATCTCTACCATAAAGGAAGGGATGTTTTTTGGTAACCACTGAAGTATGGTTATCCCCAAATGGTTTTATTTGATCTTCCAACTATTATTTTAAGAAATGGTAAAAATAAAAGTTAAGGTTGTCTCTAGGGTTTAAGCAGAATGGATCTAGAAAGAAAATGGTTACTCCACCCCAAAGCTTTGTATAGAAAATTCCATTAGTCACTAAAAAATAACAGTTATCTAACAAATAAAGTAATTAGAAAATAAGAAGCTAGAAATGGTTCTGAAGAACAATAGGGTACTATAAAGTACTTGGTTAAATAGTATTACATTAGTGATTAAGAAAAAAAACCAGTAAATTTTATATTGCCTCTATATCTCCTGAATAAACCTGGATATTGAATCTACAGAGATAAGAAAACAGAAATGAGAAAGAAATAGGTTAAAATAGAGTGAATGTAGTTAATATGACCTGCAAATACCTTACAATGATTTTACTGTACTTGCTGTGAACATCAGATAGTAGGTTCCCCACCCTGCTCAGTCTAATTCAGGGCTCAACTGATATGTGTAGAACTTTTCCAAGGTTTCAAAGTCACTTTTCTTTCATTGGAAACCTACAGCTTTTAAATAACAATCTTTGGGCTAAGGTCATCTCACACTTTTTACCCTGACCATAGTGCCACTGATTTTGATTTTGAAAATGGATGTGAAGTGAATAAAATGATGATTTCCATTCATTTCACAAATTTTTATTGAGCAGTGTGAAACATTGTTTTAGATATCCTGTGGATAGAAAGTCTTCCAAAGAGGGGGCTTCTGCCTCAAAGAACTTACCATGTAACAGGGGAGAGGGCATGTGCTTATCAGCAATATGAAACTATATGATAAATGCCATGAGTACTACAAAGTTATTGAAAAAGAAAACTATTTCCAGCTTGGCTGGTCAGGAAAAGCATTGTGGAAGTGGCACCATTTGTGATTGGCCTGGAAAGATGAGAGTAAAGGAAGCATGCAGGGGTATGTAAGTGCAGAAAATGTTTGTGGAAAGGCAGTAGTCTGGACTGAAGAGTAGAAGATGAAGCTGGAAAGGCTGCAAGTGCCAGCCTAAATCACTTGGACTTTATTTCAGTAAGCAATGGAGGGAGAGCTGATGAAGATTTCTGAACAAGGGAGTACCATGATCATAATCATGCTTCACGATCAACCTGATAGCAAAGGAGTTTTTAAAGAAGAATTTCTCTAGGAAGGATTTTTTTTTTTAGTTTTTAATGAGACCTGGATCTTTCAAACAAGCAGTGTTCTATCCCTCCCCCCAATTATAAATTACATGTTTAAAAACAGGACAATCATACTATGTTCCAGTTTCTGTTTTTGACTTGTCATATCTCAGGTTTGATGGCAAGTGACTAGTGAGGAATCCAATGGCATCATTCCTATCTTCCCATTTCACACCAATGTCCAGAACTGCCATGCTTCCTATCCCGATTCCTTGAGATGGTTGTCCAAAGGACCAATGAAGAAGTAAAAACACATCTTCTGCCTCTGCCCAACAGACTTCATAGAGCATTTCACATAGGCATTGGGTTATTTGTATGGTCATATATCCCCCATAAACTTGGGAAACTTGGGCTTACCTAATCTGCGCTTTACACTCCAGCACTCTACTCAAGGTAGGCACTTTTTTAATGCCAACTGAAAGAGTAGTACTCACCACAGAAACTTAGACTTAGAAAGAACCAGAGAATGGATCAAGCTCAAATCTCCCAAGGCCCAGACATCGAGATTTTTTTTTTCCAGGGTCATATGACTTAGCTGCAGAGCCTTAATAAAACCTCCATCTTTCTAAAAACCATAAATTTTTTTCCATTAGACCATACTGCCTTTTCTCTAAAGACATGGCATTGTGGTCATATCACGGGAGGAGGCAGGCCTTCACCCAACATACAACCCACTTCAACATTCTAAAGTAGCAAGATAAGGAGATTACACTGGAAAAAATACTTGAGTAACAATTTAGTGCAGAAATTATCTGAAGTTGTTTAAGAAAAGACTTGATAAGTATAAACAGTAACTTCAATGTTTAGATTCAAGGCCTCCCCTTCCCCTAAACTCCTTCTGAAAGACCTTCTTTTGACTTTTCTGTAGTGCTGATATTATTAGACAGCCTTCCCTCCCTACTCTCCACCTTAATTTCCCCATAAGGGTTATATACCAGCCCAGAAGGTGAGATAAGGAGAAACAAGGAAAGGAATGGGAAGTCCCTAAGGCTCTAACATCAGTCTTCTCCATACACTCTCCCCATTAAGGGATATATAATACATATCTAATATATCTAATATATAATATATAGCTGCTTGCTTGACATCTCTTTTTTCGAATAAACTTTATTTTAGCATTAATTTTTTTTATTTGAGTTCCAAATTCTCTTCTTGCCTCCAGCCCCTCCCCCACCCATTTAGTGAGAAAGTTTGCTTGACCTGTCTAATGGGATGTTCCACCACCACCTCAAACCCAATGTGTCAAATTAAACTTTTTTCCCAACTTGTTTGATGATGGCATGTGTGTGTCCGTTTCCTAAGTCATCCAGGCTTGAAACCTCAGGGTCATGCTGGCATCTTCTTTAACGGGTCCCACATCTAACTCCTGAATACCTTTCATCTGCTCCATCTTTTCATTCACTGCCACCACCAACTACCCCAGACTCAGCCTAGTGTAATGTTCTCCTAACATATCTCTGCCTTCTCCCATCCATCCTTCACAGAACTGGCAAACTAATCTTCCTAATACAAAGATCTCACTTTGTCAATGCCCTGAACAAAAGTCTTCAGTCTATAGGATAAAATACCCTACTCCTCAGCCTGGCATTTCAAGTCTGCTATCATACGGCACCAACATACTCTTCCAGCCAAACTGGACTACTAGCTATTTCCTTATCTCATTCTGTACAAGATCAGCCCTCTACTCCCCTGCCCCACCTTCACATCTGGGATGTGTGCTTTCTGCATCTCTACCAGCTTCATTTCAAATCAATATAAGCATTTAATAAATGCCAACAACATGCATATAGCACAGTGCTGGGTCTAAAGATGCAAAGACAACATTTTAAATACAATCTGTTCCCCCTCAAAATGCTCCTTGAAAGGCCCTAGTCTGGTACTAATACAACCTCCACAAAGCCTTTCTAGCCCTTCTCCACATCAGCCCAAAGTGCTGGTCTCAAATTCCTACAGCACTTTATAAGCCCCTCCCCCCATACCCTCATGTGCTCCCTCGTATCACTCTGGCTACATATATCTCCTTCACTACCTAGCTGATAGGCTGGAAAGGACTGTAACCAGCAATTCCTATATATTTTGTACTGAATTGTTACCTTTGAAGAAAGAGATCTTTTATCTTTGCCCCTCTAATATGGGTCCTAACACACAGCTTGGGATATAATGTTTGAGGGACCAAATTTCCTACTTCCACACTTCACGACAAATAGATTGCCTGACTTTCACACTGACAGCCCCACCATCACCACCAAATATTAAGTGTTTTCAATGTCACTCTAGCTATGTTTGGGGTCAAAATTCCTTTATACCCAGAATGGTCTTTGGTCAAGCTTCCCTATGTGGATACAGTACTATTTTGACAGCAAGATGCCTACTTATAAAAATGAATAAAAGAAACTAAACTACAGTCTACCCATCATTATTATACATACATATATATATATATATATATACATATATATATATATATATATATATATATGTATATATATATATATATATATATATTTCTAAATACTCTGTATTCCTGAGAAGACCTTGAGGTTTTACTTGACTGCTATTTCTCATTCTAAGATACTTAAGAACTGAATATTTACTAGTTCTTGAATATTTACCCCATCCCCAGTTTTTTTTAAACCTAGGTTCAAAAGCATTGACCTGTCTCTGACATACACTATCTTTGTGACCTTGTGGCAAGTCACTTTACCTGGGGACTCCAAGCAACTAAGTCAGAGAAAAGGTGCCTAACAACACCAGTAGAAAAAACTTCCCTCACCTGAGAAATCACAGGTCTACTCTGTCCCTATTCCTACCTTGTTAGTTAGAGGAGATTTGGAGATAG